TAATGTCATTCCACTGCCTTATAACTTACATAATTTTAAACAAGAGGTCTGAATATTTTCCTAGTTCCTTCATGGCTGCCATCAAGATTTTCTCTTTGGTTTTCCGTAGTTTGACTGATATGTATAGGAGTTATCCTGCTTAGAATTCTCGAGTCTGTAGTTTTGTGTCCTTCGTTATTTGTGGAGAAATTCTCACCTATCATTTCTTCAAATATGTTTTCTGCTCCTTTCTTTCTTTTCTTTCTGGGATTTCAGTTACTTATATGTTAGACTCTGATACGTTCTATCCAGCAACTCTTATATATCATGTTTGTTTTTTTTTATTTCACCCTTTATTCTCTCTTTTTTGTGTTTCAGTTCAGATAATTTGTATTTATATTGTTTCCTCAGCTGTGTTTAATCAACTGATGAGTCTATTGAAGGAATTTTTATCACAGATTCTTTGTGGTATAGCATTTCCATTTTACTCTTTCTTAATAGATTCCATCTACCTGCTTAAATTCTATTTAGGTATGTTGGCGACCTTTTTCTCTAGATTCTTTAACATAGAAAGTATAGTTCTTTCAAACCCCATGTCATACAGTTCTAAATTTCAGGTCATCTCTGAGTCTGTTTCTGTTGATTGCTTTGTTTCTTGAAAATGGGGTTTTGGTTTTGGGGTTGTTTTGTTTTGTTCTGCTTTGCTTTTATGTGTGTCTTCTCATTTTTTATTATATTCCAGGATTTTGAATAGAACTGTAAAGGCTGATGAGATCAGTATATTTATGCCATTGTAAGGGAAGTTTGAGTCAATCTAATCAGAACCTAGGCTGGGTCTGGGTTTTATTATTGCTGTGGTTACTGTCAGTTTTTCATAGCTCTTGAATTCCTCTAGCAGTGGGCTGCCCTTGCCTTAGCGTGGGGCCTACATGCTGGAGGGGTTTCCTGCACAGCTGACCACAGAGGGCTTGTTGCACTGCACTCCTGCAGCACCCCGAGAGATAGATTACTGCTGTTTGTTATTCTGTCCTGGGCTGCACGGGGGCTACGGGGTGTTCTGTTGTTCTGGTCAGCCTCAGTCTCGGGGAGACCCTGTATGCCTGGACCTCCATGAAAGGAGGTAAGGAGCTTTTTCATTGTTGCTGTTCCTTTTCTCTCTGGCAGCTAAACTCTGAGTGGTTTAGAGGAATTTGCTGCTGCTCTCCCAGCAGTGGGAAACCTGTATTGGTGTCAGTATGGGGTCTTTGGCCAAAGATAGTTCTCTGCCCCTCCCTCAGAGATAGAAAGGGTTTGTTGTGGTTTTTTTTTTTTTCCCCCCTACCCTTCTCCAGCTGTGATTGGTGTTTTCCTGTGCCATGGGGGTGCTAGGCTTTACTTCTTTCTCCTAATGGCGTGAGGTTTTGCTTCCTAGGAGGTTTAGAGACTGTGTAGAAAAAACTATTTATATAAATGGACAGTTTCACAGTTGCTATTTAGAGGGTTCTAATGACTGGGATCTATTTTTGATCATGGCTGCTTAAAATAACACTGAATTTTTAAAAGCTCATTGGCAGGTAATTTTATTTTCATATTTCATTTGCTGATTTTATTCCTGTCTTCTGAAATTATGTCACTAATCCTTACAATCATGAGAGAGTTTGCCTTTTAAAATACTCACAAAACCTTTTTCAGCCTTTGGCATTGTCTTTTTTTTTTTTTAAGTGACTGTTGAAAATCAATAATACTAAGTGCACTCTTAAAATTGAAATGTTCATGACTGTCACGTTCTTATTAGGAGGAACGAAACTAATACCCATACTTGGTGATATAACTGTGTGCTTCAGATTTCAAAATCCAGGGTGAACAGTATAAATTATTAATATGATTCTTGTTGGTTTGATAAGCATTATAAATGCCAGACTACCTTTTTCTTTTTTATTTTTTTAAACTCTCATTTTATCTGCAAGAACAAACTCTTCAGCCCTCAGGGAAATTATCAGGCTGGGTAAAAACTTCCTGAGAGGCAGTGTTGCATGGACTGGAGCCAGACTGCTTAGGTTCTAATTAGTTTTACATCTTAGTAGTTATGTGACTTTGGACGAGTTACCTAGTCTCTTTATGCCTCAATTTCCTCATCTAAATTAAAGATAATAATAGGATCTAGCTCAAAAGCTTATTGCAAGAATTATGAGGGTTAATATACATGAAACACTTAGAACAGTGCCTGGCCCCATACAAAGTACTGCAGAAGTGTTTGCTATAACATAGAGTTTCATCCTCTGAGTCACAAAGAGTTGCTGATAAGCTGAAACAACCCAAAAATGGAAAGGCAAGGGATTGGAAAAAATCCTGGTAAGAGATTATTCAGCCATAGGCTATTCCACAGGCTACAGGGAGGGAAGGACAGGAGTGAACCCAGGCACACATCCTGGAACAGATAGCCATGATTACATTTGATCAGATCTCTGCTTCTGATCACACAGAAAATGCTCTTGTGTACTTCAAGCCTGAGCTAAGTCCATGGGGCAGAGGCAGGAGGAGTCAATGAGCCAAGCAGGACTTGGCCAGAAGGGCCAAAGCTCACTTCTGTATTTCCTTCATTCTGATCAGAACACTAATAATCTGGAGTCAGACTCACTATTATTCCAGGTTTAGCTGTGTGAATTTCAACAAATTAACCCTTTTCAATTTCAGTTTCTTTGTAAAATGGAGATGATAAGAATAAGACTTACTGAAGTTGTTAAGGAACTAATCCCTGTAAGGTGCTTATTCATTAGCTCAGTGCCTTAAACATAGGAAATGTTCTGGATGGTCATCATCCTCCCTCCCTCCCCGTCCCCACTGTCAACATCATCATCACCATCAGTTGTCACGGGGAATCCCAAAACGCCGAAATCCTGATCTGACACAGCCTTTGCTTCTATGCTTTCTCTCATTCCTCAGGCTTCTAAAGGAAATAAGTACACAGAGAGCAAAACCAAACAAACGGTTTGCACTTTACTACTGTGAAGTTTGGCCTTCGTATAGTAGACCCTGGTTGAACTAGGCTGGTCTGTTTGGAGAACTGGTTTGGTCTTTCACTCAGCTGGATACCAACACAGCTCTCCTTTGGCAAGGTAGAGGCTTTAAAAGCATGTCATCTTCTAATAGTTACAGTTTTATTTCTAATCTTTATGCTTTTTGCTTCTTCTTGTTGCACAAATTAGGACCTTCAAATGATGCTAAATAAAAGTGCTGACTAGCAGATATCCTCGTCTCATTTCTGTCCTCAGGGAGAATGCCCTAGTCACCTTGGGCAGCCGTAACAAAATACCACAGATGGGGTGGCTTAAACAACAGAAACTTATTTTCTAATAGTTCTGGAGGCTAGAAGTCCAAGGTCAAGGTACCAGCATGATTGGTTTCTGGTGAGAGCTCTCTTCTGGCTTATGGGTGGTCACCTTTGTACTTTGTCCTCACATGGCAGAAGCAAAATAAAATAATTATGAAAAGCTTTGATCTACTCTAAAGGTGATTAAGCAGAGACTGAGTCCCCAGAACAAATGGATGCCCTTGTCGCTTTTAATGTAATTTTTGTTCATAAAAATATTTGACTATAAAAAATTAAATTGAAATGCTTTCCTTTAGATTTCATAGGATAGCAGTTAAGAACACAGAAAAAGAGGCAACATGTGATACAGATTTTTCTGTTGGACTGCCTCGTGTCAGATTCCAGTTCATTTACTAGCACTGGGATCCTGGCAAATTACCTCACCTCTCTAAGGCCTCAGTTCCTTCATCTGTAAAAAGGGCCGAATAACACTACCTGTCCCTTGGGGCATTTGAGAAAATGTAAGTGATAATCTTTATAAAGTGCTTGGCACATAGCTACCACAATTTATTGAGAACCATCAATATTATTTTTGTTATTAAATTGAAAGACACTTGAAGGTAATACAAGTGAAGGAAAACAGGTTCCTTCTGGACACACACTCCTTGAAGTTAAAGAAAATACAAATAAAATGGCCCTACCAAGATACTTCTTTTAGCATAAGGAATATCTGGCCAAATTATTTTAGTTAAAAATTCTCAACTACATATAAAAGTCACCTCAGGATGCAGTTTTAGATATATTTTTTTTAGGCCCCACACCAAGTGTGGGGCTCGAACTCACGACTGAGATCTAAGAGTCACATGCTCCACTGACTGAGCCAGCCAGGCACCCCTAAATTAAATGTTTTAACAGTAGAATTAATTAGAGAAAGAGAGCCTTGTCACATTGTAGTAACTTGTAACATCAGTCTAAGAAAGTAGAAAATTACGAGTTTTAGTAAACAATTATAATATATTGTAGTCTATATTGTAATATATTGTAGTCATAGCTTTTTTGCATATCAACTATATTTTTTGGAAAAAGCCTCATAGCCAATTAATTAATACAATGGATTTTTAAATAGCAACTGTGATGTGTATCTAAGTCTAGCTAATCCTGTGGTGGAAATACATTTTTTAAAAATACTTTATTTTACTTTTAAGTAGGCTCCATGCCCAACATGGGGCTCAAACTCATGAGCCTGAGACCAAGAGTCACATGCTCTACCGACTGAGCCAGCTAGGCGCCCCAGTGGAAATACCTATTTCTTACACTATTAAAAGATAGTTTTTTCATGAGAAATTGTTCAAAGAACCTGTTATTAAAGCATATGATTTCAGTGGTTAGTGCTAGGTATTTGGCAGAGTTTCTTTGGAGAGTATATGTCAACTCATTTTATCAAATAAGAAATCAAATATTTAAAAGCATTGTGCCCAGAGATGCAGAGGGACATCCTGCTATTAAGAATACTTTGGATTTCTGTGAATTTACAGGTAAATTTATAAATCTAAAGAAATAAACCTTTCACAAGGAAAATGGAAAAATTTCAAAAGCAACTTAAAACTGTAAAACTTTTTTCTTCTTCAGATGATTTATAAACATACTGCTGTCATCTTTAAATTTCTGAAACACATGGAGTGTTTGTATTAACAAGACACGTATATATTAATTACTGCTTATTTTTATAAAGGTTCAGAGGTCCAAACAGATGACATTCTGTGGATAGCCATGGCAGGGACTCATCAGATATGGGCACTGCTACTGGACTGTGGCAGACTACCAAAGAAAAAGTAAGTGACAGTATCTCTCTTTGGGTAAACTATGAGTTCACAGAATAATCCCTCTCCTCAAGTCTCTGTTCTTGCAACGCCTCTATGCTAGTTGGGATGTGCTGGGCTACAGCACCATAACAAACAACCCAGATTCTCAAGAGCATAAGACAAGGTTCGTTTCTTGCCCACTCACATAGGTTCACTGGGGAGCGCTCCTCTGCCAGGCTGCTGACCAGGCTGATGAAGCAGCCACCTGCTTCATCTGGAGCTTTGCCAGTCATCCTGGCAGAGAGAGAGGTGGTGAATCGCTCAGTGGCTCTTAAAGCTTCTACTCGGAAGTGACACACATCACTTTTATTTAAATTTCATCAGCCCAAGTAAGTCTTGTGACCACCATTGCTAACTTCCGGGAACGTGAGAAGATCATCCTACGAGCCTCCAGAGAGAGAACTGGAAATGTTTGGTGGCCACTCATCTCTTAACATGCAGTTCACACATCCCTGCTCAGGAATGCAGATGTTTGAGTACTATGTGGCAGAGTGCTTAATGGCTCAGGTTTTGTAGTCCTGCCTGAGATTAAATCCTGGCTCTGCCACTTACTAGTCTGGGAGCTTAGGAGAGTCAATTTAACTTTCTATGCTTCGGTCTCTTTATATCTTAACTTCGTAGGCTTGTTTTGAAAATTAATAGTAGGTATGAAGAGCTCAGCCTGGTGCCTGGTTTATCCAGTAAATGTAGGAGTTTCGCTGCCATCGTTGGGGATATAAAGATGAAAAAGCAGTGTCTGTGCACAGTTTCTTATATCCTTTCTGTAGAGCCTTGTCTCTTCTCCCTCACACTCCAGGTAGAACTGACCATACTCTTCTCTGTGACCCCCCTACACTCCCTGTGTAGTTACATTACTGCACTGATAAGTTCCTTCTCTCTTCCCCTCCTCCCTCCCTCCCTCCCTCCCTCTTTTTTCTTCTCTCCCCCCACCCTGTTTCTGGTTGCATTTGCTGGTTTCCATAACTATTTCCTCCTACTAGACTGTCCCTTAAAGTAAAATTGTCCCTTACATAAATAAGAGGAATACCCAATATCAATAAAATATGAGGTATCAAGGAAGGCTTCCTGGAAGAAGCTGCTAAATTAAAACCTGATAGAGGAGCAGGAGTTAGGGAGAGTGGAGGTTTCCAGGCAAGAAATGACACCAGTGATGTGAGTAAAAGCCAGATCGTGAAGTGCCTTCTGTGTCCTTTGAAGAAATGTGAACATTATTCTGCATGCCTTTATGGAAAGTTTTGAGCTGGCTAGGACATGATTTGATCTGTGTTTTTGAAAAAACACTGGCAGCATTTGGACTGGGACAAAACTAGAGACAGAGATAGCAGTGAGGGGACTGTGGTCATCTCCAGGCAAGAGAAGATAGTAGCCTGAACAGTGTGGTGACCAGAAACATTAACACGAGGCATAATTATAAACAGAAGAAGTAACAGAGATGGCCAGAATGCACGGTTCTAGATGGCTGTTTTTGACCCATATGGTCAAGAGTGGGCTAAATTTCCAAATAAGTAGAGTTTTGTCACTCTCGTTCATAATAGGAAAATGTCCAGTCAGATCACATGGACCTGTATCATAATTTTAAGGATGCTTGATCTTTTTTACTGATCTTCCAGTGGTAAAGATTTCTAACGTTTTAGAAGTTACTTTTTCTCCCCACTCTTTCTTTTAATTAAGAAAACTCCTATTTGAAATTAAGATTCATATTAATTACCTTTTAATTTATTTGTTTGGCATATTAGTTATCACATGTATTTCTCTGACTACATTTTTTTTTTAAGTTTCTTGAATAAGTGGCTGTATTTTATACATTCTGTATCCCTTTGCCTCTAATCCTCCATTGGGAACATATCAGTGAATAAGTGATTGGTGGTCATCTTAGACTTCTGCCTGCTGGGCCATATCTGGAGATGATGTACATGTCATCTCATTACTTTGCGTCCTGAGTCAGCTTCTTCCCCTCCCTCGATGCAGCATGCCACCGTGTCTTCCTTCCAGTTCCTGCAGCATAAACCTAGAAGCCAAAGTATAAAGCTTTTTATTACAAAAAGAATCATTGCAGAGTCCTTTAAATAGAAATTTCTCTATTGTATATAAGAAATTGATTTTACAGTTGATTAAAGCAGCATAATTGTCCTGTAAGAAGTTAAGCTGGGATCCAGATGTACCTATCTCTGGCTATTTGTAGGATAAAAAGAAAAAAAAACCCACACACAACTGTCTAGTCAATAATATGATCATTGAGAATAGTTTCAATTTTGTGTATGTCAAAAAAAAAAAGTAAAGGTCCCTGCACAGTGAGTAAGTTAATGATTTAGAAGAACTATAGGGAAAGTAAAGCTGACTTGCACACTTGAGGCCAAGATCATGAGTCTGTTTTTTTAACAGTGTTTATCACCACTGATTTCATTACTTACATTCATTTGATGACTAAATTGGACACAACATAACGATGTCGATTCCACCTATGAACTTGGGTTTTTTTTTAGTGAGCTGAAAAAAGGAACCTGCCTTCGGTTTGCTGGAAGCGGAAATGAAGAGAACCGAAATAATGCATATCCTCACAAGGCAGGCTTTGCCCAGCCTTCAGGTCTGTCTCTGGCCCCCGGAGATCCCTGGAGCTGCCTGTTTGTCGCAGACAGTGAGAGCAGCACGGTGAGAACGGTCTCGCTGAGAGACGGAGCCGTGAGGCACCTCGTGGGAGGAGAAAGAGATCCCATGGTAATGCGTGAAGATCGCTTCTGCATGCTATGCCCAGACCCTTAACCCCACTTGCATGTTTCGAATTGTGAAGTTATTAAATTTCAGGAGAGCAAGTTCTTGGCCTATCCATAAATTAAAGTGGAAGTCAGGCCAAAGGAAGTGTGAATATAAAACGCGAGTAACAAAACCATCTAAGAAAAGTCAGTTGACTCTCCTTGATTACACAGATGTCGAGGCTTCAGGAAGAATGGAAGGATCAAATGTTGATTACAGAGGAAAGAGGAAAATGTAAATTAGATACTTGGCAGGAGGGTGGAAAGAGGACCAGATTAGTAGACTTGACCTGTTCCTGACCAGATGTGTGATTACTGTGAATAAAAGTACCAAGTGCCACAAATTAACACAGGTTCAAAATTCTGTCATTTTTTTTCTTGTCTGAATTGAATACCCAGATCTATTTATATGAAATCAGACCCATTTCCCCTTTAACTTAAGTAGCATATATAGTCTTCTTTTTACTTTATATCCTATGCTGTAGTACTGGAAAAATTTTAATACATGCTGTTTCTTTCTTTAAAAAAAAAAAAAAGAATTTATTTGCTTTTGGTGATGTTGATGGAGAAGGAATCAATGCCAAGCTTCAGCACCCACTTGGAGTAACTTGGGACAAGAAAAGGAATCTACTTTATGTGGCAGACTCTTATAATCACAAGGTGAGTCTTAACAGAATTCCAGATTATCCTGCTTTTCATCTGTGGCATTTAAAAAGCTGAAAGCTTTGTGAGCCTCCTCCAACTGCCACTTTAAAATAGAGAGGAGTAACAGTCTTTGACAACGATGTACAGGCCTTTGCTGTTCTTTTCTTAGTCCTTTCTTTGCAAAGAGGATACGATGGCACTCGGAGCTCGAGAACAGACTAAATCAGTTCCCTGTGACTACAGCAAAAAATCATGAATTGCGGTCCATCAAAGCTGCCTAGTAACAGGGTAAATAAGGCGGCAGGTTTCGGGGAAATTAATATGTCAACTAACAAAGGAACGTTTCGAGCTGTTGCATAGTTGCAGTGCCTGCTAGCAAATAATTCCATTTTCAGCAGCATTTCCATTTTTGTCTCTATTGCATGGATTATTCAATTGTTGCCATTTTTATTGCATTTTTCTTTTCTATAAAAACTAGTGGAAAATGTTAATACCTTGTGATGACACCATAAATTAACATAATTGAGGCACAATTGGAAATCATTAGGTTTAACAGAAGTGGCCAATTCTCAGCCAGTGTTAGATGCTTGTGAAAAAGAAGAAAGTTCAACTGGGTCTTATTGTGAGGAAAAAGAATAACATTTAAAATTTTTTTTTGATTCCAGAATTTCATCAAAGATTGCTGCTGGAAGATAAGATGTAATTGGGTGTTTTATGTCATTTTTAGCTCTCAGAATGGAGTGTCTCCCCTGAGACTATAATTTGAATGTTTGGCTTTTCAAGAAATTATGGAAATGCCAATTTTTTTTTTTTAAGATTTATTTATTAGAGCATCCTCATGAGTGGGGGGAGGAACGAAGGGAGAGGCAGAAAATCTTAAGCTGGGCACGGAGCCTGATGCAGGGCGCGATCTCACAGCCCTGAGGTCACTACCTGATCCGAAATCAAGAGTCAGACCCTTAACCAGTGAGCCACTCAGGTGTGCTGGAAATGCCTATTCTTTTTCTGAGATTTAGTAAGAATGCTAACGGCAGTCAAGTTCTCTGGTTTGCTTTTCACTACACTTTTCTATACTACAAACAAGAGCTTGACCTTCAGCTATATACTGCATTATTCTTTCCTTTTAGATTAAAGTTGTGGATCCAAAAACAAAAAACTGCTCAACATTAGCAGGAACCGGAGACGCAAGTAACGTTATCACTTCCAGCTTTACCGAGTCAACTTTTAATGAACCAGGAGGCTTGTGTATTGGAGAGAATGGCCAGTTATATGTAGCAGACACCAATAATCATCAGATTAAAGTGATGGATTTAGAAACAAAAACGATTTCTGTGGTAAGCAATCAAAGTGTAAGTTAAAGAGTATTATTTTAAGAATGATACTAAAGTCCTCACAGCACAGAAAGAGGCACTTTTGGTTAAACCATCTCCAGTGTTGGACGTAAAACACGTAGGTAGTGAATGCTCCTTCCAGAATGCCCTGTTCTTGTTAAAATAAAAATTCCATTTGTGACGAGAGTGTTTAAGATACTGGAAGTTGGAGAGAATTTGAACTTTCATCTGTGTTTGTCAAAAAAAAAAAGTATGGGTGTAGACATACGTACGTACTACACTGGTTGGGTTGCCCAGGTGTTTTGTGTGTTTTTTTTTTTTAAGGATTCTTGGTGTCACCATAGGAAACAAAGATAACACATTAACCTCTTACCTCCCAAAGGAAACCCTAGGAGCCACATTTCTCAACACGTTGAAAATAAGATTGGAAGAAACTTAAATGAGTTCTAATCAATTTTTAAAGATAAGGATATAGTTTCCAAAAATGTTCAAGCTACCTCTTGATATTATCACATTTGGCTGGGGAAAAAGACGAGTTTTTTTTTCTAAAATTCTAGGATTTCCCAAGATACATATTTTTTTTAAAGATTTTATTTATTTATTTGAGAGAGAGAGAGGGAGAGCACAAACAGGGGGAGCGGCAGGCAGAGGGAGAAGCCCCGACATGGGGCTGGATCCCAGGACCCCAGGATCATGACCTGATCCGAAGGCAGACGCTTAACCAACTGAGCCACCCAGGCGCCCCCAAGATATATTTTAAAATAAAAATACTGACTGCCATCATAACTGTCATTTCTCTTGACATAGATCATCTTAGAGTTGGCAGTGAAAATTGTAAGTGGAATTATACCCCCTACATTTAAATTAATAAAGTTTTACTTTAATTTCCTACCATCTGTAAACATCCTAGATAATGAACTTAGTTCTGTTTCATTAATATTGGTAATCTTTTTGCCAGGATGAAATATGTTTCTGAACCTACAAAATAATTATAAGGACGTCTAAGTAAGCACATTCCTAATTCAGACTAGAATGGCAATTAAGTTTTATCGACATAGAACCTCATTTTTTGAGGTTCAAAAATAAGCTCTTAACAATTACTATGAAGTACTTATGTTTTAATTAACAGATTTTCTTACTTCCTAGCTCCCAGTCTTCAGACCTGACAACGCTGTGGTAGATGGCCCATTCCTGGTCGAGAAACAGAAGACATTGCCCAAACTGCCTAAATCTGCTCCAAACATTAGACTTTCTCCAGTGGCTGCATCTCCAGGCCAGACTCTCCAGTTCAGACTAAGATTAGACCTCCCATCAGGAGCAGAGCTGACCGAAGGGGTACCCAGTTGTTGGTTTCTAACAGCTGAAGGTACGAGAATAATCTTGCAAACATTCCAGTATGAAATTGCATTTACCAGTCTACCTTCCAGTAATACAGTGATCTAAATCTCAGAGTCCATTCTAAAGAAGGAAATTAATTTTTCCCTTGAGTAGGATATTTTTAAAAACGTACTCTTTTAACTGAAGTAACTTGATTTAGGCTTTTTCCAAATCAGTTTTTTGGTGGTTTTACTACTTTTACTTTTCCAGATCTGCATCTGTCAAGTGCTTTAGAACTTTCAGTTGCTGTTCATCTTATTTCAAAAGGAGGACTTGATTTACCAGTTAAGCCTGAAGCTGCATTTTCTTCTTTAGAGATGCCAGAGGTAGAACCTGAGCCCCATTACTTGCTATAAGAAAATGGATTCGAAAAAAGTATCTTAAAAGCATGCCATTGAAGTAGAAGAACAAACCATTGTTGAAGGATATGTAATTGAATACAAATGAATCACTATGATCAGAATGCAGGCAGAGCCTTTGTCCTTACTAATTTGTAGTCATTTAAGCTAAGAGCACTTCCTGTTCGAGTCTATGCTCAAAGTATTCAGTGACTGTAAATTGTGTAAAGATTTGAATGTGTATTTGAAGCGCTGTGTGCTCTTGATTAATGTATAAGAAGGAATCAGCCTGCCGCTTGCCTGATAGCAGTGCTTTGCAGCCCCTCTAATAGAGTGGACAACAACTGTAAAGTAAAATATTAGCGGTCCAGAACTAAGTGCTGACTTCTTGTCTCTAATGACCTTCCTCTGTCCTGGTCTCCCACGCTCTTTCACATGTTCTCCGTCTTCCATTTCCTCCCGCCTCCCCCCTCCTACCCTCTCACACACTTCTTTTGTGCCTTCCCCAGTCCCAGGCTCTGTGCCTTCCTACCTTGCTACTTTCTCAGGGCAGCCGCTGCTGTCCTGCAGCTACCCGCTGGGCATCCACACCAAGAGAACCCAGAGATCTTGGTCGTGTAGCCAGGAGGAACTGCTGGTTCAGAGTGGGGGAGGCTGGCCCTGGGGTGACTGAAACCACCCCCGCCCACCACAAGGGAGAGGGCTGAGCTCTGCAGGTGGGGAGGAGGAAGACGTTTGGAGCCAGCTCTGTGGACAGGAGAGGACTCAAACCCTGGCCATTCTTCAGTCCTCGACTGTCGGCTTAACTGTTGTGCCATGTCTCTTAGTCTGCAGGGACTGCATCGATTGGCGATCACTGTTAATTTCATCTCTCTGTTGTAACTAAAGAGCAGTGGATTGATTTTTAAAATACGATATTGACAAATTAACATGTTCAAGTCTATTTGGTCCAACACACAGATTAATAATGAGCCACTGGAATACAAAATACAGGTAATATTAAGGTGAAGTAGTCTGTAGAGAAAAAGCACTTGTCCAAAATAGTGGTTCCATTTTTGTACATGGGCAAATAAGCTTGCAGACAAGAGTCCTAATAATTTAAGGTTTTTGAAAATTATTTTATAGGGTACATTTGTTAACATCCATGATTAAAGGAAGGTTTTTCTTCTTGGCCAATTATTTAAAGAACTTAAAACATCTATTTTTAACTAAATTTTGGTCTATATAAAGTTGTCAGCATGTGAAGATTTGAAGTCCCCCCTCCAAAAAGGCAGTTGTAAAAGCACCACTGGCATATTATAACTTCACAAATCCCACATGTGATATACCTGAAAAATATCTAAAAAGACTTTATTTCTAGAATTGGACATTAAAATAGCACAATTGTTTTCCTGTTTTGATTTAAAATATAAGGCTCCCACTAATCTGTTATGTAGCAAAGCCAAACATGAAATGAAACATATTCCCCAATACAGAAGCAAAGAAGGCCAAAGAATTTTAAAGAGAATTTTTAAATAATGGTTTAAAAGCTCTTCACTTAACTCCTTAGATTTTCACCTTTCACTTTCTCCTTACTCTGACTTGACATATTTTTCTCAAATTTGAGTTTTGAATCAACAGAGAACTAGAAGCAATATAGTGGAAGGGAGATGGAGAGGCCTAAGAAGAAGCGGGTGCTCCGAGTCTGTTGACTCATCCTGAGGTGAAAAGAAAGAAAAAAGCCAAAAAGTAGATATAGAATTTCATTACCACTCAGTAGGTTTTGTACAGATGACCAAAGTCATTGAGAAGTCATGAGATGTGCTCCACATCTTCTTTTTAAGATGGCAGGAAAGCATGTCCTGTGTTTTCCAGATGCTGGCTCTTGATTTCTAACCCCTCTTTAAGCTGAATATCCGTGTAAACATGTCCTTCCTCAATATGACTCAGACGTCCCTTCTGAGAGGAGGCACTGCATGAATAAAGAAATTTTTAAAATTCTGATACTAGAAGCTTAAAGAATTCTAATGGTTTACTACACTTGTGTTATAATCTACATATTTAAATCTAAGAAGAGTTATGTATTAAAATGAGGCAGACAAAAATCTTAGTATTTACATTGTTGAGCCGATCTGAATAATATATGCGGTGTTACTTGTCTCTAAAAATGTATTTTTTGGTTTTTACCTTTGGATATTTAATAATTCATCATTATCTTGACTTTGAAAGTGACCTCAGAGTTGTACATAGTTTGTATACCCTGGGTTATTCTGTAGTTGTCATAGGCATTCCTAAACACTTTATCTGGTAAAAATGACCTATTTGTTTATTTATAGAACTTAATAGGTTTCATTTTTAATTTCAAGGATTAAAGGATCTATAGACATATTTGCATTATTCAGTTTGGTTTCAGTAGACATTTGCAATTTACAGTGTTCAAAGGAAGAATTTTGATAATTTGATATCAAGATCATTAGCCTGGGAACTTCTCATGGGTGGTCGTTGTATCCCATCAGTGTCCTTCACACAGAGCATAATGCCTGGCACTTAGAGGCTTTCAGTAAATATCTGTTGATTGAATGAATGTAGTCTTCAGAAGGTTTGTCTAATTACCTACTTGTCTTCTTATACAGTCTTAGTAATTTACCTTTATATTTTCTAGGCAATGAATGGCTTCTTCAAGGACAGATACCCTCTGGAGAAATAGAGAGCATTTCCAGTCAACCAGCGATCTCACTGCAGATTCCTGGAGATTGCTTATCCCTTGAAGCCGTGATATCTATCAGCGTGTTCCTTTATTACTGTAGCGCAGACAGCAATGCCTGTATGATGAAGGGAATTTTGTTCAGTCAGCCTTTACAGATAAGCAGTGCACACCAAGGGTGCATCGCTCCAGTAGAGCTCAAGTATGGATTTTAACAAGCCAGTTAGCTACCCAGTCGCCACAGCCACTGTCTCATCACTGTAACTTAGGAAAAGCAGCTTTATTTCTGCCTCTGGATACCAAGGAACCCACTGCTCAGTTCTAGCAACTGGTTTTAAAATAAAGCTATGCTCCATATTTACTTATCTAGTATAAACAAATTCCTTCATTCTGGCTGTGTACCAGTTAAATCACTGACCATCATTTGAACCATGATTTTGTAATCCCTGCTGCTATTTGGCACAAAACTTAAATCCACACTGTAGTCTAGAATATTATCATGAACATAATTCGCAGTGAATACTGATAATGAAACCAAATATTTTAACTTTTTCTACCTTTATTAGTATCAAGGAGCACATTTGAATATATACATTTCACAGTAACTTTAAACAGAACCCAAGATTCAGGACACCTGCCATTCAAAGCCTAAGGTCTGTTTAAGCCAAAAAAAAAAAAAAAGTCTTTACATCACAGTAGAAACTTAGAGTATCTGGGTGGTAAATATGTTCTTTGTTCTCTTCTGTGATTCTCTCAGTTGAGAGTGATTTAAAAGAGAATTTCTATTTTTATTATAAATTATTTGCTATTTTAACATACCATGATTAATGCCTTATAACTCTATTCAGAAAAAGTGTGTCAAAGGATGTACAGGCTCCTTTGAGTCCCCAGAGATACTGTAATTTTCACAGAGAAAAGGACTTCGAGACCTGTTACTATCTGTGATACTATTCACGATAAAAAATCAGTTGTGACAGCTGAATCTGAGTCAGTGGGTATGTATGCTGTCTTAGAGGTTTAAATTTCACTTAGAAGCACTAAGATATGCAGATTGGTTGGGGTTTGGGTTTTTTGATTCCCGTATTCAGAACTTAAATTATGATCATTTATTGTGATGTTTTTAAAAATCACTTTTAAGCCTTCAAAGAAAATTTTAGTGTGAAGCACTTTCATGCTATTAATATGTATATATATTTATTACTCTTTAAAATATTAGGGCTGAAACATACAGGGATTTAATGACACTGGGGTTATTTTTAACCCATAAAGAAATTGTCACTAGAAGATACTGAAAGTTTTTTCTTTATCATTTCCCTTTGTAACTATTTAAAAGCCTATTCTTGGTTTTACTATAATTGATTCAATATGTTTGGGATTTAAGCAGCTTATAGAATTTTGAAAATGTCAGGTAAACTATATCCAATAAATATTTATAGACAAAATGGCATAAAATATGTCTTTCCCTTCAAAAGCAAATTAGAAGTGTGATCTCTGGAGGATCATCATCTGCCCATTTTTCGTTTTGAACATACTAGCTTTATTTACTCAGGTTACCTAAACCTCTGAAGTAAGGAAGTATGTAGTACTGACTTTGATTCAATTTGTAACCTGCTAAAGCTATTTTTAAAGAGATGTATAAATGTAAAGTTAAAAAGAATCTTGTTTAAAATTATATATAATTAACCTCATAAACCTTTTCTTTCCACAAAAGAATTCTGTAATAAAGGGATGTATAACATTAATACTCTCTTTTACAGAGAATAGGCTGAAGTCATGTTTTAATCTCATTTGAAATATACTTCTCATTTCCAGTTGGACATGATGAGAATACTTTCACTCCCTGGGAAAGAAGTATATGCAGTTTTAACCTAATTCAGAAATACCTGATAATTAATTTATTTTTCAATATAATACGCAAGCACACATAAAGTTTTGTATTACATGTTTCTCAGAATCTAGTAATATTCTTTTTGTCTAGACAGTTTTCAGTTAGTATTAAGCTTATACTTTTCTTTCAAAGTATGGGTTATTAAACATTCTTATTCTTACCCAGTCACCAGTCTGCACCATTTTACATTAAAAATATTATTTCTATGGATTTAGTATGATTTTTTGTAAATCCTACTAGAGCAGTATAAATAGGTTGCTAGAACTTATGACTAACATAAACCTCTTACATAAGAGGAAGCACTAGAAAGTTTATTTTTAAAAACTTGATCCTTGGCTGGCTTCTGCTTTCTATAAGGACTTCCATATTGTTTTTTTAACTTTTGCTTCTCTTCTTGTATAAATTATGTCCAGTGATAGTTTAGAAAGAATAAGTCATCTTAAAGTGCCAGTAATGTGGCATCACACACACTTTGACATCATTCCTAGAATCTTGGACCTAAATTATTGTGCTTTGTCACTGTTTTTTCCACCACTCTTTGTGATGTCCTTTCACAAGTGGTAGAACTTTTTTCCCCTGAATTCATACTCAGGATTAGTATGATCCCCGAAAAGAATTTTGCTTATCTTAAATATGCTGCCTCAAGCAAATATTTAACCTATTCACAAGGAAAAACTTAACAGTTTAATCACCTGTAAGTGTAACTTTGATAAAGTTCAATGACTACCAATTTTCTCCTTAACTGTTCTGAAAAGTTTTTTTTATGTTAATCCCCATACATTACATTATTTCTCCTTAACTGTTCTAATACTATAGTTCTAGTATTATTGGGTCTGCAGAAAGCTATAATCTTAACACAGCCAAAAAAAATTCCTACGTGTGGATGAGATAACAAAGATCAAGAATTTCCATCTAAGTTTCTCTCATAGGCAGTATAGTTTTGAGTTAATATCACTGAAATAACTTACTCTCTGCTTGTTTTTCCATGTTGGAAAATTTAGGAAAATATTGAAAATATATATCAGTAATAATTTTCTGCCTGCACAAAATTTACTATTAGTTTACTATATCTGCCAATTAAAAAGACTTCAGTCTGACCATTGTATTTGGCATCATGTTTAAGAACAATTATCAAAAAATTCCATAGTTCACAATTGCATAAAAATATGTGGAGAGGAATTATGTCAACAGTGGTTCTCCTGAATGATGAAATTATGAATATTTTAATTCTACTTGTATTTTTTTTCAGTGAACAATGTGTTATTTTCAGAAAAAGAAAACTGGAAGCAATTTTTAAAGATCTAAAGTGAACTGAGTTATAAGCACTGATGTAACTTTTCTAAAGTCATCTTTATTACCAAGGATCAGAACATAGTTTGGAGCCCTTTGTTCTATTGGTTCTCTTAATTATGTGATTTGGTGAAGACAGAAATGATCATGACTTTTTCTTCTGGGGGTTTTATAGTGTAATGTGGTATAGTGGTTGAGAGCATGTGCTTTGCAGGCTCTAGGATTCTAACCGTATACAGTGGGGCTGTTCTACCTGTTTTATGGGGGTCACTGTAAGGCTTCAATAGTGTTTGTAAAGTATTTAGTAATTAATGGAACTGCTAGTTATTCACTTAGTTAATAATGATAATAATTTATGACCATAAACACATAGCTTGACATTTTCTTTGCAACTACAATTTCTAAAGGAAAATATTTCTCAGCCAACTACTTGATAAGTTAATAATCTCCATGGAGCTGGGATTCAAGAAGAGAAACAGTTTTATAATAAAGTATATTACTACTTTATAAATGATGTTATAGTTAAACACCTACAGTTTTATGAAAATTTTCTTAAACAGACCCAGGACTACGAGTCATATACTTCCTTTGAGAGGGTCCAGACATACTCACCCTACACCCCATTCCTGTAACACACTGATGGTGCTTTACAAAATCTTCAAAGTGCCTTCATGCATTTTGCCTCATCTGAGCTTCAAAGTAACCTATGAATCAGACAAGTAGATGTTACGTCCATTTTACAGATGTGAAAATGTGGGTGACATAACTCAAGTTCTCAGAATAATGCCTGGTGCTGGAGTGGGGCCTGGCATGGGCTGTTGCTCAGCCAATTGCATGGAGTGACTAAAAGGTGAATAGTGAGTGACTTATGTTTTATCTGAATATAGGTCTCCTAATTCCTACCTCTATTCCTAGATGGAGAGTGAAAACAAACTGCAGAATTAAGAAAGAGTACGTACTTCTGTGAATGCTTTCTTCAGCCTCTGTTAAGTATTTAAATAAAGTAATACAAATAGCTGAATTTATTGAGTGCTTACTATGTGCCTGGCACTTTTCTAAGTGCTTTTTATGCATTAACTCATTTAATCCTTACAACAGCCTTCTGAGAGAGATACTGTTTTTCCTTATCTCCCCGATGATGAAACTGAAACAAAAAAGTTCTAAGCAGTTGCGTAGATTCGAGATCACACATTTAGGAAGTGGCCAGGTCTGGATGAGTCTGCTCCACTACCATACTACTCTGCCTCTCCAAAGTAGGGGTTTTTTAGACCTCAGTCTTTCAAAGCTATATATAGTAAATAGTAATCAAAGAATCCAAAAAGTCCTAGTGATGATTGTTTTTTAAATTTAAGTTAAATCCATTTAACTATTAGCTCTTTGGACTTTTCATTTTACCCCCTTAGGAACAGTCTGTATACTTTTGTTTCCCAAAAGATTTTATGTACCATTCTTTCTTAAATTCGGATATTATTCAGAATTTTTCTTGGCAGACAGATGTATTAAAGAATTAAGTAGATTTTCAGTGTTAGTTCCAACAATGCTATTTTAATTGGTCTTCAAAAGGTAACTATAAGACCTTGTCATAAAGGATAACTGAATTTTTAGCACAGGGCTGTCTCAGACCCTAAACATCTTCATATTTAAGAACATTCTGTTTTTAATAACTAAAGTGAGTTCTAGAAGCATAATATTTGGCCAACCTGTTAACACACATAAAGCACATAAAGTTCTCTGCCTACTTGCTTCGTAAATGACACTGGAATGAGAACCTCCACCCCAGTGACTCAAATATATGTGATTCTATTACAGTAAAGTTTTCACCAGGTCAACCTATTCTAGAGTTAGGTACTGACAGGAACGAAGTAAAATTTTACATACCACTGTGGTTCATGATCATCCAGGAACAAGATTATAAACATCTTTTCATTAGATAGTCTGCTAATTTAAATTATTAGAATGTGTTGTTATAAAATCCCATTCCTGAAACCCATTAGGAAATGTACAACTTAAAAAGTAACTATTGTGTCATACTTCAGAAGTAGAATTCACTATTAATCACCAAGAATCCTCCTCTTTCTCCTGGGGCATATACATAGTTTATTTAAATGAATTCACGCTAACCAAAAGTCACTGTTTTGTCCTAAATAATTAGAAGTTCGTTTTCCCCATTTCCTTGCAATAGGATAATCTAAAGAACAGTATTACACAGTAGGGGCTTACTGATCTGCCTGCATGTGTTCCGTGACCAGGAAACCTTGGCCCTTCTCCACCAGACCTGCAGGTTCCTTGGCTGCTTCTGGCCTCCCAGCAGCCAGTCTGACCACAGAGGGCCTGGGTACAGTGGACCAGGAGGCCGCCCTAGGCAGCTTTTCTGATTGCAACCCTTCCATTTTTCCGTGTGCTGATTTGGTTTAATTATTTTCAAAGGTTAGAGCTGGAAAGTGAGAACTCTACATCCTTGCTGTGGAATGTTTGCCTAGAGTTCTCCACTGTCCGGTGTGTCCCTCTTCAAGGCATGTCACTCTCAAGTACACCAAGGGGTGTTTTGTTGTGTTGAGAGCCCCCAACCAAAAGGAAAGAATCACAGGTATTTCCAAATAGGCCTCCCTGCCTGTACCAGCAACCATGTCCTAAAAAACACTAACCGAACAT